AAAAAGGAAAAATCAAGGGAGGAGGCAAGGGGTAAGAGGCAACGTGATCTGTCAGATCGTTGCAAGCTGTCGTGGGCCCCACCGTATTCTGCCCACGCCTCCCCGATTCTCTCCGCCCCCCGCCCTTTCTCCCTCGCCAATAACTCGGGCCGAATCATCGGCGATCCGGAGCTTCGGCTCTCCCCGCGGGTCCGGGTCCGGGTCCGGGTCGCCCACCGATCTGCCCTCGTCCCTCGTGGCTCGACGCGGCGCGTTCCCGAGTTTTCGAAACGGTATTTCGAATCATCAACGTAGTCCGCTTCGCTTCCGTTTCCTTTCGTTTTGACGAGGGGAAAAGCTGATGATGGTTTTTAGAAGAATAAGACATGACTTTGACAATCATGCCGTCGAATCTTCCCCTCGGCTCGAGAGCGATCGCACGAGAGATTGACCGTCCGATCCGGACTTATCGAGATAATGTGATGTACTCGCTATTTAGTTACGATGATGGGAACATTAGCCGGCGTTTCCATGGAATTTTCACGCGCGCGCCCGTACACACATAGATGTGGATGGAGGCGGTTGAGACGAGGGTTTTGGCAATAAATATTATTTGACATTGGTGGCGTGATGCAGAGGAAACGAGAGAATTGGAATTGACCCGACATGTGTCAGGTTAAATCGGGTTAGAATTTGAAATTGCTCCTTATGCTAATTAAGTTTACACGACGTAACTGGCCCGTCAGAATTGAGAAAGATCGGAGGAAAATATAATCTTGTAAAATAATACACGTATCTACCGACCCCCAAAAAAAAAAAACCGATCTCCCGTATTACTGAGGCATAGTCATTTCGTCTTGAGTTCAACCCAAAAAAAAAAAAATTCATCTTGAGCATTTGTCTGAGTCCAAAGCAATTGTACGCTTAAGAAGATCTGGCGATCTTCATAACATAAACTCAAATCTATATTCACACCTCAATCCAATTCAAGCTAATACATTATGTCACCAATTCGATTAGAACCGTGATAGCAAGATTGGGTGTGACATCTCGTACCCAGCCTAAAGTTCCAAGAGCGTTAGGTATATAAGAATCATTCGCATATCGTACTTGCAATGATGCCGTGTCCCTACAGACTAATGAAAAGAAAGAGAAATCGACGTGACCTCTTCTTCTTCCTCTTCATCTCCTTCTTTCATATATATATTTCTAACTTTTTTGTGAAATTTGCAAGAGGTAAGTGATGGCTCAAACCTGCGAGGCGAAGCGAGCTTCCAAGTACAAAAATTTACGTGCATGAACCGACCATAACACGATACGATCCCGACCCCCCCCTCAGTAACAAAAGATCTCCAACGTTCGATGTTTTGCCCTAAAGAGCAGCCAGAGGGGATGTGTCGTTCCATTTCGATCCGACGATGCACTCGATTCCATCTTTTGACGAACGAGAAAACAGACGTCGACGAGAAGTCATGTGCGCGCACCCGCAGAAAAGCTTTGATTTGATCTTCGCACCAATAATTTAACGCGATGGAGCCACCATATCCCCACGATTCCATCCGTGTTGGAGGTGACAAAGGTGCATTATTTTGATCCTGCACGCACGTCCCATCTCCACCCATTTTCATATTTCCCTCGTTTTCCCATGATTTCACCTATACACTTCTTTGTCCTTATTATTATTATTACTATAAAATAATTAAGTATTAAATCGCGCGTTCATCGAACGGTTTAAGCTTTCGAGATAATTGGCGCACATCTCACGTGGTACCAGAGCAGAAGGTCTCGAGTTCGGATCTTTTCGAGTCCCTCTTGACCTCCCCGATTAAATGTTTTTCACGCTCAGTGCTAGGCAAAAAGACAAAACTAAGCGTGCATAAGGAAGAGGGTAGGATGATTAAATATTGGGTTAATATCACGAAAAAATCTCAAACCGGTATATCCGTGATAAATTTACCCCAAATTAATACAAAAAATTCCAAACTGATACATTCGTGATAAATTTACTCTCCGTTAAATTAGATTAATACTGCAAAAAATCACAAACCGGTATACCTGTGGCAAACAGAGGTAAAACCCAAAATTGGTACACCCGTCAACTGTCATGTGTCATCCAACTCAACAATTGAATAGTAACATTTAACAAAAATTTATAAAGGATAAATTTATCATAAATATATCGATTTGAAATTTTTTCGTGATATTAACTCTTAATTATTGAACCGCGTCCGGTTTAAGCTCTTTGAAGAGTCAACAGCTCCAGCCAAATTTCACAATCATCATTAGGGCAAGCAAGGTGGGGATACCAATAATGATGCGCAATTATAAAAAAAACAAAAGTCAATTTCCTTTTGGGTGCGTGGATGATGGAAGTACGTAGCTTTCTCAAACGATCGAGCCCCACATCGCGACTCGAAACCCCTCCTGCTTCGAAGCAACCATCCTTAGCTTCTTCTTAATCTTATATATAATGCTTAATTACGGCTCAAGAGCATTGTCACTAATCATAGAATTAACGTATTGTGATGCTTAAACAAATTTGGGTTCTACGTGACAGAAGCCATGCACTGCATGGCCGGCTTCATTATTGTTCGATGGGCAACTTTATTATATTTTATTGCCTCGAAGCAGTCAGCACTCAATAGATATGCTCAGTTATTTTGGGCAGACTTTATTTTTCCTTCTCTCTTTTTATTTATTTAATTCTCGACATGTTTCGAACATGGAGCTTTCGATCTTACGTACCCTGATGTTGCTTTCCTCCATTGATTATCTCCCGGCACAATCTTTGCGATATCCTCTGTAAAACGACGTGTACAAATACTTCTGTTTTGTCTAATTTGAGGAATTGTTGTAGTAGTGGGGGATAGATATAAAGATCGATTCATAAAATGGTACATGCATCTCCCGTCCATTGAATCGAGAAAATTATCGTTACGTTACATCACTTCTAGAATGCTTTTGGAAATCAGTCGTCGCACCCTTGATATTACTCGAGAATCGTATTCGACCAAGGACCCGGCAGCTTCTCGAGATTAGATTCTTCTGCTGTATCTATGGAAGCTCCTTCCCCCCGAAAATGATACCGATTTCGACGATTGCCAAAGAGGCTGCCGGACGTTTCGGCGATTCATCTCTTGGGCGAACGGGGAAGCCACGGAAGGGACGCGGTGAACGAACAGAAGGAGAGGAGAAGAAGAAAAAAAATCAATCGTGGTGGTCAAAAAGTAATCGTGGGCATTGATTAGGGCAACGGCTAATCTAATCATGCTTTTGATATTTTAATCTCGCGACTTAGGCCCTGATCAAATCTCCCTTTGTGATATTATATTGTTGGTGGGTATGGTATATAGCCGACATATGCTTTCATTGATTGCTCCCCATGACGATCTATGCCTACCAATCGCATTTGCGGAAGGAGGACCCCAAAACCCCCAAAAAAAGAAAGAAGGAAAAAAAAAAAAGAGAAAAGAAAAGAAAAAGGAAGACTCGACGACAATCTCACGCGCGCTTTAGCAGCCATTCCTCCCCGAGGAATTGCCGATCCTTTTCCCACAGCGCCTCGCATCGCATCATGACGTGCCTTCGGATCGTGATTCTCTCTTTTTTCGCGGACTTATTTCATCGAATTTCGTTATAATTTTATCTGTCCTTAGCGCACAAGTGAGGGAAAACACTACAAAAAATTCCAAATTATGTCACTATGATAAATTTATCTTGAACTTCTTTTTGTGATACAAAAGAAAATTCGGGATAAATTTGTCACAAGTGACATAGTTTGAAATTTTTTGTGGTGTTTTCCTCACAAGTTATTGTGAAAAATTCTTATCGTTTCGGGATAAATACACCGGAAATTTTTTTAACTTGTCACAAAAGTAAAATTAAGTTATTAAATTTACAAAAAGTGTTGCAACGTCCTAAAACTTTTCAAATTGATGTAATTATATCATTTCGTTAATTTCGTTTAATTTGGTTGATAGAAAATTGGATTTTTTTAAAAATTATTTTCTCTATCTTACGTAGCGATGGTGTGATTAAAAACAATGCCGTTTTGGTCAAAATCTGAATTTTTTTTAAATTAAATTAAAAATAAGGTAAATTTAAGAAAAGGTTTTTTTAATTTGATTTAAATTTTGACAAAAAATCAATTTAAATAAATTTAGTATAAAAAATCGGATTTGGACAAAAACGACGTCGTTGTAGCCCGTGTTTTAGCCACATCATCGTCGCGTAGGAGAGCAAATATTAAAAAGAAATCACGTCAACATTTTCCGTCAGCCAGATTGTACGAAGTTAACGAAAGGACCCAATTGCATTAATTCGATAAATTTTAGAATTTGATTACGCTTTTCATCAGCACTTATCCCGATCATTTTCTTTTCGGAAGATGGACCTTTGGAGAAGGCAAGATGGTGACGGGAAAAAGGCAATTATGCGCTTCATAATTACTGCCGCTAAAGTCCGACCCCCCCAAAAAAAAAGAATTTACCGCTGCTAAGGCAATGGAAGGTAAGAAAAGAAACGAAAAAAAAAAAAACAACGAACCGATTCGAATCTTTGACGAAACGAGCCCCGACATCACTGGCCCCTTCCCCTTCAATAATTCACAGTTGCTCGTTGCCTTCGAATATGTTCGGAAAGGAAGTAGAGATGAAACAACACCACCATCACCACCTCGGAACAGTTCGAGTTTTCACTTGGTTTTTTTCCCTCCCCCATTGGACAGGACCCGCCACCATCTTGTACGCAGGCGAAGAAGACCTCGGGGCTCCACTACGGGCTTCTTCTGACCTCTTATCTCTCTCTCTCTCTCTCTCTCTCTCTCTCTCTAGGAAGTCCGTATTTCTTCTGCTGCACAGCAGAGGGGGGGGGGCGGGGAGGACAAATGCCTTCCTCTTGAAAACGCCGAATGGGGTGGTGGGTCAGTCCCTTTCCACCTACACACCCAAAAGCAAAAGAGACCAAGAAAAACAAAACAGAAGCTATGTCACTATATATGTGTATATATATAATATAAACAGAGAGACCCAGTTAAGATAGTGCAGTAAATGTAAAGTTCTGCTCTTTGGGCATGCAATTCTTGATATTTTTGCATAGCTTGTTTGCTTTTGCCTAACCTTCGTTGTCCACTTGATGATGAGGCAATGATATGGTGCACCCAACTTCAGTATCCAGGCTAGACACCACCACCACCACAGAGAGAGAGAGAGAGAGAGAGAGAGAGAGAGAGAGAGAGAGCTTTAGCCGGTTCTGATCACTGAGCTCAATTGGGCTTTCTGCAATTCGAGTGTGGGTTCGAGGATTTGAGTTACCTTTGGGGGAAAAGAAAGTCGCAAGCTTGATGCTTTCTTTTGGCGATACAAGGGCTATGAGCGGAGGAAAGAGCACATGCACAGAAAAAGGGCCAAAGTTTTTCTTACCTCATTAATGATTCTCTCACGGGTTTTGCTAGCCACAACAACAGTTGGTTTTTTGGGTACAGCTAGTTGTTTTGGAATGATTATCTCCAACTTTATCTTCTTCAAAATAGGTGTGCTCTTGATGACCTTTCGGGCTTCTGAGGGCATGGACTCAGAAATTTAGAACAGAACAAGAAATTACACACCAGAAGGACATCAAGAAAAGGCAAGAACCTGCTGCTTTGTTTTGCCGGTATAGTGTATTAGCTAGAGCATGGTATTTGTCAGGTTGTTTCTCAAGAATCACAAAGCGTTGAAATTTTGTCCGAGTCAGGCCGAGTAGTCTTTTGGGTCATGTTCTCTATCGGTTGAGCTCTAGCTATTGATGAGTTTGTCACCTTTAGTTGGAGTTCTTCTTAGGCTCTCAAGTCTCTTTGTTGAGTGGCCTATGGTAAAGATGCATCCTAATGGCAAGCTTGCCGGATCTAATGGCAAATTGCAAGCGAGTTTCAAGTTGAATAAAGCGAACGAGCCCATTAAGGGTCCCAATTGTATGGAAATATGGAGGAGAAAGCTCATATTCTTTTGTGTTCTGCTTATGGTCGCCTCTGGGGTTGTTTGGTTTTTCTCGGGTTTCAGTGAGAGTTCTTTGGTGGGGAAGGTGAAGTCCCCTGAACTGGGGGAAGAAAAAGCTCGAATCTTACGATTTGTACAGCATTTCAATGCCAGCAAGAACCAACTCCATGCTTTAGCTTCTCTGCTCGGCGACTCTAATCAGGTGATGTTTTGCTCTGTCCTCTTTCTTACGATTTTCAGTATCCCTGCTCGCTCTGCATCTCAGTAAAGTGGCCATTGTTGCAATCGTTGTTGAAATCTCATCTCGTTTATGTGGAAGAAAGGTTGAATATTACGAAGGACATAGTTATGGGACTCCTTTTTTGTTGAAATGTTTGTTCATCCAGCGCGTACTTTTCAAACTTGATTGATGCAGAGACGATATCATATACTAAAAGTTGTAAGATGAAAATCTTGTCTCTTCTCCTTCTCCTTTGACAGCCTTACTGATACACAGTTATTTTGGACTTTGTAACTTTGTTGAGTCGAACCTGGTTTGCCCCATCTATCTTCTAATAATCTGCACCTTGACCCGGCTGGAAGTTTATAGGACATCCCTCTTTCATTACTTTGTCAGAAGGAAATTCGTTGGATGTTTGCAAAGAATTCTGAGGGAGGGCATGAGAGGAACCAACCATTTAGCTTAACTGTAGTGTTCGCGGCACCACTAGAAACGTTGCTACCTTCAAAAGTCCGTATTTTTCTGGAGATTTTGTTTTGGATGGTCATATTCGTTATTTAGTGTATGAAGGATAGAAAGGCTTAGGATGTGGCTGAGAAATGCTAGTTCTCTGTTGCATCAGCGTTTTTTGCGTCTGTTCACCTCCTATGTATCCTGGTTGCTGTGGGCCTTTTGCATCATTATATGTGTTCGCATTTCACTAAGTGGATCACATCTCTGAGCACGCTCTCAATTTTTTTTTAACATTAGTTCGAAGAAGTCTGTTAAACATGCTCTTGGGTTTGTTTAACTAAGCAATTTTAAGAGGAAACGGTGAAGATTGGATTTGTCATCTTTGGGATGGCCTTGACTAAACTACTGTATTCGGTTTATCTATTTCAGGTAGCATCCGTCCAATGTTCCAAATTACATAAAGAAACGGGCAAGGAAATGACATTAATAAATGGTTGTGCCTGCTCTCTAAAAGTTGTTTGCTCAGAACATCTGGATCTTCTGAAGCAGCAAGTATTGAATGGGGAAGATGCTGAACTTGAGGACCAGTGCCCGGCTCACCCTGAGAATCTCTCTTTGGAGGATTGCCAATCAATGCTACAGGAAAAATCAACTGCAACTGCTTCGCTCTCTGAAATTTCATTCCGATCAGTCAATAATCCAAATGTTCTGGAGGTATACTTGCTGCAAGTAGCGACCAACTATGTGTAAAAGTGACTAGATATGTTGATAGAGTTGTATACATATACTTCTCTTCTGTAGTTTGTCATATTGTTCTTAGATGTAATGCTTATATCTCTGATATTCTTGTCATTTTTCATAGCTAGGAGTTTCACCTGAGATACCGTCTGTCTGTAGTGACTATAAGAAGCTATAAGGATATCTGATGGATAGATTAGGTAACTCTATTGGAAAGAAATGGTAACCCCCACATAAGCATCCCCTTTTTATCTGCTTGTTGTGTTATCATTTCCTTTATTGAATGTTAGCATTTTTGTAGAGATCATCTGTGTATTAGACATTTCATTCTCTTCATATTTCTGCATCACTCTCATTCCTTTACTTAATATTGCATATCAGACATTGCGTATCAGTTGAACTACATTGCTTGTTGAAGCATGTCTTCTGTTGTTAACTTGTTAAAAACTAACCTCTTGTTTTACCGACTTTCTAAGTAATTAATAGACGATATCATTTTTACAGTTAAAAGGCTTCTTTCCTTTGTCATGACCAGGACATGTCACAAGCAAAGGGGAAGGGAAATCATGCAGGAGATAGTTGCAGGACTAGGTCCTTTGGTTTAGTAGAAGGATGCTGGTGGGTTATTGTTGTGATGATAGTGATCTGCAAGATGTATGGTTTTTATATGAGAGTTCGGAGGGACCAAACACAAAAAAAAGTTAAGCCAAAACCAGTGAGTCAGCAGCGGGAGCTGCTGCTTCAGCAGAGGCAGCAACAGCAAAGCCATAATTCCTCAAAAAGTGCCGGAAGTTGGCGGAAAAAACTTTTGATTGTATTTGTCCTACTTGGAGTAATGACGTCCGTTTGGTTGTTTTGGCATTTGAATGCTAAAAACACTTTGTGGAGAAAAGAGACCCTGGCCAACATGTGTGATGAGCGAGCCAGGATGCTGCAAGATCAGTTTAATGTCAGCATGAACCATGTTCATGCCTTGGCTATTCTCGTATCCACCTTTCACCATGGAAAACAACCTTCAGCTATAGATCAGGTGACATTGCTCCCGACCCCTTCTTAATTGATATTCGTGCCAAATTTCCATGGCTTCAGGGGTTCTACCTTGACAGTGAAATGTTCATGTCTAACTTTGTGAGCACTTGCGTCGCCACATTGATCAGGCAACAGATAGACTAGGGTTACATTTTTAAATGTTAAAAATATGAAGTTTGCTTGAATTTTTCCCATGTTAGTGATTTTCAGGTCGGGTTAAACTGACAGCCAAGCATTTTAAGGGGTTAGATAATAGGAGTAGATTTCCCATGAAAATTTTGACAGAGAACTAAACCGAGCCTAAGAACAATTGCAATTCTGCCACTTGTGGTGGATGGTCTCAGCAAAGAACAATCGTGAATGATCAAGGTTGTGATAGTTATATGTGAGTGCATATTTGGTGGTCTCTAGTAAGTAATAAGTTGAAATAAAATATAAGAACAATAATGGGGTGTCGAGCTGTACTGGTTGCTGATATTGAGATTCTTGCCCCTTTATATATGTTGGCATTGGATGGGCCAAAAGCCGTGGTAGATGGGAGTTTGTTATCAGCAGCCTCAATCATGTTAATGCATTAGGTTGACATTGAGAATAAGTTATTTGATTTTTTTTTTCTTTTTAAACGAGTTTCTTTCTGTTGAGTAGAAAAACATGTTTTCAGCCTTCAGGAGATTGAGGAGAAAAGCTTTCACACTGTTAACAAATACAACATATATTGTAAAGAAAGTTTGTGCTAAAAAGTGGTTGTTGAGCTCTACTAGGGAGAGAGTGATACCTGCACTTTTGAACTTAGTGCCAAAGTTTAAAAAATGATACCTTGGTGTATTTATGCCTTATTTCCTCAATCATGCATATGCTTCTTTCAAGCTGACACCTTCTACCCATGCTTGTGGTCACCATGACCATCCAAATTGAATCGGATAGGTCAGATAATTGGCTGATATTGTGGGAACTTATCTCAGAAAGATATTGTGGGAACTAATAATAACCTTTTGAGTTTTGTTGCTGTGTGACATGCATGGCCTTCAAGAGCGCCAACTTGGAGTAGTAGTGGCACTCATGGTGCAACAAACTTTTCCTTGGTCCTTTGAAAATTTGATGGAGAAAACTCTGAGATTGATATTTTTTCGATCTTTATCTTGCAGAAAACTTTTGGAGAATACACAGAAAGAACAGCTTTTGAGAGACCACTTACTAGTGGTGTTGCGTATGCTTTAAAAGTACCTCACTCAGAGAGGGAGCAATTCGAGAAGCGACATGGATGGATAATAAAGAAAATGGAAACTGCTGATCAGACACTTGTACAGGACTATATGCTGGATAGGTTGGACCCTTCACCTATTCAAGATGAGTACGCACCTGTTGTATTTTCTCAAGAAACTGTCTCTCACATAGTCTCCATTGACATGATGTCTGGAAAGGTGGGTCAAGTAAGACTAATGTGTTTTATCACTATCCTCATCTTTTTTTCTTTAATATGCAACTTGCTCTAACCTTTGATGTTGTATGGCATTGTCCTTGACTACTGATGATGTCCTGATGAGTATATTCACTCAGCAGGAGTAATTGAAACATTAAATTGTGTGTTAGTACTTAGTAGACAAGGTTATACACGGAAGTTACAATAACTTCTCTTGTGACTTCGGGGGAATCCCATCAAGTTTAATAGCTTCTTATACTATGCTTGTATAACACGTTGCTTTTGCTACAAATATAGGAAGATCAGGAGAATATACTGCGGGCTAGGGCATCTGGGAAGGGAGTACTGACTTCTCCCTTCAAGCTTCTGAAGTCGAATCACCTTGGCGTTGTTCTAACTTTTGCTGTATATGATAGAGAACTTCCCGCTGATGCTACAGCTGAGCAACGTATTGAAGCAACAGTGGGGTATATGTTACTTGATGGTTTGGTAAATTTCTTCTTTTGATGTAGGTAAATGCATTAAGTCTATGTTTTCCATCTTTTAGGTATTTGGGTGCATCTTATGACGTCCCCTCCCTAGTTGAGAAGCTTCTGCAACAGTTGGCTAGCAAGCAGACGATCGTTGTAAATGTCTACGACACAACCAATGGATCTGCACCAATCAATATGTATGGTGCTGACGTTATTGACACTGGGCTGGTGCACGTTAGTAACGTTGATTTTGGGGATCCACTTAGGAGACACGAGATGCACTGCAGGTACATCTCTTTATAAACGAGTGTTCATATCACTACGCACTTGGGGCATCACATGGTTACCTGGGCTGTTGTGTGTAGGTTTAAGCAGAGACCTCCTTGGCCATGGACTGCAATAAATGCATCATTGGGACTGCTGGTCATCACGTTGCTCGTCGGCCATAGCTTTCATGCAGCTATAAATCGAATTGCTAAGGTGGAGGAGGACTATCGAGAGATGATGGAGCTGAAAAGTCGTGCTGAGGCTGCAGATGTGGCAAAATCTCAGGTGCACTTTGTTTCTGTTTCACTAAATTGACTGCTACTTTTAAATTCTTCTCGTTTGTCCTCAACATGTGAATCTATTTACTAATAGAATTCTACTTTGTCACCAACAATATGGGTGGCATCTTTGAGTGATTTCTCTTATACTATAACATAGATACTATGATAAGTACTCTGAATTGAGTTTCCCTGTTTCTGTTTTTCATTTGTAGTTTCTTGCGACTGTTTCCCACGAGATTAGAACTCCTATGAATGGTGTTTTAGGTAAGTAAAAGTTCTTTGGAAATACAATCCAGTTGCTGATCCGACTGAAACATTGACAATGGGTAAAAATGATGTTCCAGGCATGCTGCAAATGCTTATGGATACAAATCTCGATGTAAACCAACTGGATTATGCCCAAACTGCTCATGCATGTGGAAAAGATTTGATATCATTGATCAATGAGGTTCTTGATCAGGCCAAGATTGAATCCGGACGTCTCGAGCTAGAGAAAGTGCCTTTTGATCTTCGTTCTGTTCTGGATAACGTGCTATCACTTTTTTCGGGCAGATCTAATGAAAAAGGAATTGAGGTAAGTACCTAGTCATCTTCATTTTCCAATGAATCATCTGTAGCTGTTTCATGCAAAATCTTACAGGAGCTTGGTTTGTCTCTTGTGGTGGTTCTGTTGGGTGAGGGAAGTTGGCTGTCTATGTCTCTGATCGGGTGCCAGAAGTTGTTATTGGTGACCCTGGTCGATTCCGGCAGATAATTACAAATCTTGTGGGGAACTCAATCAAGGTCATTGTTACTTCATTTTCTGTCTATTTTCTCTCATGCAGTCTATTTCACAAATATTTTTGGCATTCATAAAGTTAGTCATTAGTTTGTCTATTTGTTAAAAGGACCTTATGTCTAAGCACAAAAAAAGTAGCACCGGATCTTCAACTATTTAAAAGAATGTATTTCTTGTGCTTATGTTTCTCTTCAGTCCTTTGCTTTCCAAATTTTCTTGGAGAAAAGGTCATGTGGATAATGGATACTTTACCAGTGAAAAGTAGACCTTGCTGCACAGGTTTGGACAGTCAATTTGCTCCTCCTCAGATCATCTTTTGCTTCTTTGATGGCCTTTCAAACTCTTTCCTTTGAAGAAAAGAGCAATTTATTTGATCTGTGTAATTGTTTGCCGTGTTATCTGTGATCTTTCGGTAACATCAACTTTAAGACAATTCCACTTTTTTGATGTCTTCATGTTTACTGCAGTTTACCCATGAAGGGCATATATTTGTCTCAGTTCATCTGGCAGAAGAAGGATGCATTCAGCATGATTTTAGAGATGCAGAGAAGAGACTAAGTTCAAACTTTGTTGAAGATACATCAGACAAAAGTTTTAATACATTGAGTGGTTTTCAAGTGGTTGACAGAAGGAAAAGCTGGGATCACTTTAAGAAGTTAAATCACTCTGATCAAATTGATGTGAATGAATCAGTTGAAATACTGGTTACTGTTGAGGATACAGGTGTTGGAATTGCCAGAGAGGCACAGAGCCGCATATTCACACCTTTTGTGCAGGCTGATAGCTCCACATCACGTACATATGGCGGCACTGGAATTGGCTTGAGTATTAGCAAATGTCTAGTGGATCTTATGCACGGGGAGATCGGGTTTGTAAGTGAACCGGGCACCGGAAGCACATTTTCCTTTACTGTCCCTTTTGCAAAATGTGAAACAAACTGTCTTGATATGAAGTGGCAAAATTACGATGCAATCATATCAGAGTTCAGAGGATTGAGAGCCTTGGTGATAGATAAAAGAAGCATCCGGGCTGAGGTTGCAAGATATCATCTCGAGAGACTAAGAATATCAGTGGACATCGCTTGTAGTTTGATGTCAGCTTGCACTTATCTATCCAACTCTTCCAGCCCAAGGTAGATCCACTTGCCACCATTGTGACAAAATTAAAGCTAGTTTATTGTTTCGATACTAAATATGTAAAGAAGCCGAAATAGGTTTATACTGAACAATTTATCTATGATCAGACCTTAGTACTTTGCTCTAGAACAATAATTTAACTGAAGGTTGTAATAAAGATGTCTCATATGTATTTCGGTGGTTCCATAGTTGTATAATGTAGCATCTATATGATCTGCATGTTGCCTGGGACTTCTGAAGCTGTTTTGAATCTCCACCAATGAGTGTCACCTACAAAAATTGACTAATGTTTCGGTAATTGTTGAATGATAAGTCTAGTCAGATCTTTTATCGGCCCAGTATTTAGTTATTCTCTCTCTCTCTCTCTCTCTCTCTCTCTCTCTCTCTCTTTCATTGCTGCATAAGTATTGTTGATCTGCTTATGAAAGGAAGATTCATATATTTGAGTTATGTAACTTCAAACAATTGAAAGTCCCTTTGTGAAACAATTTCTTGGTTGTTTTTCCTGCAGGGAACAATCAGATTTTGACATGGTTCTTATCGACGAAGATGTTTGGGACGGGCAAACAGGTTTGGAATTCAATATTTCACTTTGGAAACACAGGCAAAATGGCAGCAATGGAGTGTCAATAGGTCCCAAGATCTTTCTTCTAGCTACATCCATAAGTCCAATTGAGCGCAGCGAGCTCAAATTAGCCAACCTGGTAGATAATGTGCTGGTAAAGCCTCTCAGATTGAGTGTCTTGATTTCCTTTTTCCAGGAAGCCCTTGGTAATGGTAAGAAGAGGCTATCTGATAGGAGAAAAGTATCAAGTCTTGGCAATTTGCTGAAAGGAAGAAGAATCTTGGTAGTGGACGACAACTTGGTAAACAGGAGAGTAGCAGAGGGTGCTTTAAAGAAATATGGTGCCATTGTTACTTGTGTTGGGAGTGGTAAGGATGCTTTAGCCATGCTTCGGCCTCCCCATGACTTCGCTGCTTGCTTCATGGATTTGCAAATGCCAGAGATGGATGGGTAACGAAGCTACTCTTTTATTCATTTATGCTGAACTATGTCGATTTATTTATTTCTTTGTTTATTTTATGTTTGGTAAGCATTTGGTAGTTTATTCTACTGTTGTAGGTTTGAGGCAACACGACAAATTCGTCACCTTGAGAAGGAGGTTAATAGTAAGATTGCCTCTGGGGAAGCATCTTCCGATGCAGTTCATAATGTGTTACATTGGCATACTCCTATATTAGCCATGACGGCTGATGTAAGTCAGGCTACAAATGAGGAATGCCTCAAGTGTGGAATGGATGATTACGTCTCAAAGCCTTTTGAAGAAGAGCAGCTTTATTCAGCTGTAGCACGGTTCTTTGAGTCTGGCTGAGAGAGAATGATATGATGACAGCACATCTACTGTCAAACGTTCCACGCCAGTGGCTGATTACTTTTCACAAGTTCACCAGGGTTTGGGGCGGGGGCATCAAATGGTTGTCGTGATGAGCCTCGTTCATCATACAGCTGTTGTCTTTCCTAGTGGCATTCTTGGAATTCCAGGTATGGGAAACTTCAGCTTACTGTGATATGTCTAGATGTAAGGTAATCTTGTTTCTTCTGTGTATGAAGCATTGCACGCGGTCTTGACTTATTGTCATTATATTCGACTTCTGAGTCAGGTTATTAGATAATCTCATACTTCAAACAATGTGTTCAGAATTGTCCAAATTCAGAACTTTTGGTTGGACTCATCTAATTAACATATGTTCCTTAAATCTACTGCAGGAGCTCTGAGTTTGTTGCCTTAACCGATGGACTTGAATATCTGATCTTGATTCTGGGGAGCAATATACTGGTGTCATGACGCATCCTGATCTCTCAACATTGATTTGTTATTGGATTCATTCTTTTCTTGGAATAGATTCATTGAAAGGGCGCGGCTTGGGGATTGTTCAGAGTCCCAGCTAGCCTGGTTGCAGAGTCAAACTCAGCTCGGCAGATCCTACTACTATACTGCAGTTAAAAGTGAGGTAATTGCCTAATGTCAGGGAGCATTCGTATTAACATCGCAGATTAGCGGTTGATCAAGCAATCGGTTCATATTCTTTAGTTCCTACCAAATTTCCTCTCTTTCTGCAGCTTCGAGGAAGATGAATGGTGATTATTTTTGGCCCTTGGAAGTTGGAGGTGCCTTTCTGAGATGCATCGTGGACCCCCCAAGTTTTTGAGATTGATTTCTCGGGCATGTCAGCTTGTGTCTCAGAAGTAGAAGGGAGTAGAGTTCCTCGTTCGTTTCCTCTCGCCAGTGAACCTTCTCTCCGATGCTCAATAAGGGATTTGTATTCTTTTGGACACTGAAGAAGCAGGCTCGAATTGAAAATAAATTTGTCAAGTGTTATTTCTACCACGGTGGCAGGATATAGTTAGTTTTTGTTTCCTTATGTAAGTGCTGATCCCTGCTCCAGCAAAAGATGCCTCAGCTGAAGAGGTCCAATCTTTAGTAACATTGCCATAAAATACATTCTCACTCTCAATCTTATGTATGGAAATCATAATCTGGAGATTACAGTGGTTCTATTATCCCCACAGACAATGATATGTGACTTTGGGTATAAATGGACATCCCAAAACAGTTCTTTTCCCCATTCTTTACCATGTTGTAGAATCAATCAATTTTTCAAAGCATCGGGCCTTCAGAAAAGAATGAAGTCCACATTTTCTCAGGTTGGCGATAAAAGTAAATGATAAGGCAATATCTTCTCGAGGAGACTGCCAAAACAGCCTTGGTACAACTTCACTAGCACTGCATTTATTTCACAGGAACTAGAGAATCGTTCCCAGGGTTATTCACCCAGTTAAACCATGGTCGATGCATTACAACATTTGAATTGCATCGGACCGACTGATCAAGGAGTATGGTGTTTTCTTGGGTTTCTTAAAACAACAGACATGAACCACTGTGGGTAATCCTTCAGAATCTCAGCTTATACATGATGACAGAGAAACCCAATGAATTTTCAGCAGCAGAATGAACACAGATTTCCAATTAAGTTAAACCTGAAACGGGCACATCCGATTTTTTGAGATCTCGATCATGGTACGTGGTATTTACAGATCTCGAGTTCCTGTTTCCTTCAGATCCTTAAAATAGCAAGCTTGCCCAAGCAGCTACAAACGCGAAACCTCCAACGGGTGCCAACATGGAGTAATCTCTGTCCTCATACAATGCCGCTGCGTAGCACCTAAAATATTTTGCAGTTAGTGAGGAAGTACAGATGATATCCAGATTCCAAAAATTGAGCAAATGGGATTGTTAATGATCATCAAACGAAAAATTGTGGCATCTAGCAGCAAATGGATGATTGTATAGTGCGAGACAATAGCAATTTATACCAACTAAGGAAGGCATGATCGGATGTATCTATCTCCTACAATGCCTAAAGCTAAAAAGATGTAATTCAATACACCATTGCCAATTTCCATGAAACTTCATTTTTACAAAGAATCTAGGTCATTATACCAAGTTAATTGCCAAACAAACCCAAGTCATCACTATATTCAATTCGCTGCATGCGAACTGTACATACTCACAGGCACAACACAATCATCGCAAGTCCCACACCATAATAGAGGGAGCTCATGATGTGAAATATTAGCGGAGAACCACAACCACCCCACTCCCCCAAGGATCATTACAAGAGCGGAACCTCAAAGGGGAAGCTTTTAATGCTTGCTAACAGAGAGGAAAAAGAAAACAACAAACAAGAAAAGCTCTGAAAGCCCCGATGCATTTGCTGAGGCTCTTTTCACAAAGATGCAAAGATGGTTGACGCCCACAAGTAGGTCTCAAAGTTTACACAACACACTCTCTCTCAGCCGCGACAGTGGTGAAGCAGCAAGTAAAAAGACCAAAAATCCATTTTGTGGTAATGGAATCACTTAAAACAACTTCAGAAGTTTCTTTTGGAAACAAAGGCGTTTCTCAGGTTTTCGGTGAAGAATATTTTAGAAAACATCCACCAAGTCAGTTTTGTATCGTACTAAGAAGGTAGTTAAATTTCAAGAAAAATTCATCAGAATTGTTGATGTCGACGAAATTAGAAAGAAATATGAAACCAAGAAGCATAGGAAGTCTTCCAATCCAATTTGTGGATTTGGAAACTATGAATAGGTGGTGTAGTCCTTACCAAAAAAAAAAAAAAAAAGGTGGTGTAGTCAACTCAAGTCAAGTTGGCAAACAGAGAAATTCTCCTAGAACCACCGGTAGACTTTACATGGTCGTCGCTTTCAAACTAAACCTGCACAAGGTGAAAACACCTTTTGCTAGCACACAAAGCAAGTTCTGGTTCCCTGCAAAGCAAGGGAATAAGTAGGTCTCACAAGATCCTTATCACCCACCATGCCAGAGAAAAAAATTAAAATGTCTTGTTTTGTTCCTCCCAACTTCAAAGCATTAACTTTTTTTTTGGTCTAATCAAAGCATTAACTTCACTATGCAGATACTTGCCACTCTGGCCCTAAATCCTTAGAATTTAGATGCCAAGCGCCATCCAAGAAAGTAACAGAGGATACCAAATTCTATGATGTCCTAAATGCTAAAAATGCATTCCTACTTCGACTTTCCTATGGAAAACAATCTCCACTCGCAAATTTCAGGCTTATAACCCCAAAAGAATTCATCATATCAATACAGCATATGGGTGAAATAACATAAAGGGGCTAAGACTTACGACCCGGAGAACAAAACGATTCCAGCAGTCAAGAGCCCTCCGAACTGAAACAGGAAACGAGGTGAACCCACATATTAGAACTGCATAAGCACTTCCATAAAAGAGTAACCAGCTAAATTGAACCGCCTCTAGTTAACATTTAATAACAATTCTTCCACAACAACTCAGCAATCAGCATAACATTAGTTCCTTCCAAAATCAGCAATAGAAACTTTTCCGATTGCAAGAACAATCAGTGTTGAAGGAGAAGATGTACTCACGACATGGGGACGTTTGGTGAAAGGGGCAGTGACAAGTGCAGCCGTGTGAACCAGATGGTACAAAGAGGCTGTTTGCCATACCTTCACATGATTTTCAGATAGAAAAAAAAGATCCACCAAAAAAACAGAAGAAACCCATTCAGTCCTAACAAAATCAGACCCTTAAACGAAAGAATCGAAAGCAAGCACGCGCGGCCATGGAAATGCACCTCCTTGTAAGAGGGATTTTGGGGTCTGAAGACATGGGCGCCATACGTCCCCAATCCAAGAGCCGCTACTCCTGCTCGTACAACCAAAGATATGATCTTTCTCGAACAGTTCGATGATCCAATTTGTCACAGAAGACAGAGAGAGAGAGAGGATACCAGAGACGGCAGCGACTTTGTGCCAGGTGAGAGCGTTCATGTCTCTTCACAGTCTTGATCTTCCTCCGAGCCCCTTTTTGACTCCCTGCAAAATTTCTGCAGATGATCTTGCGAACCAACGCTCGCTCCTCCCAGCTGCTACGACAACGAAGGGAAGAAGGGATCGGAGCGATTACTGGTCAAACTCTTTCTTCATCCGTCCGCCAACCGTTCGTTAAAATGCCCGCCCCCGTCACGGCAAGAACAATGCAGGGTCCCGACAAAAAGCTAGCGTCTTCTCCAGGGGCCCGCGACGAGTTAGGCCTGACTCCATCGATCCCATTAAAGCTTCCCACCAATGGGCCGATCACGAACCCAATTTCTCCGGCCCAAAAGATGGAGAGAACAACGATCCAACGGGTCGTCGTGCGAACTGCGAACAAGGGTCCAGATTTTAGGAGCGAGAGCACAGAGACGGCAATCATCACTTACCCCGTGAACGTCAGTCGCCTGGCCTGATCAAGATAGATGATCACGGGTCCATGCAATGAGCTTTCGTGCCGGAGATCAAACAGGGGAAAGAAGAGGACAAATGAAGCTTGCCACCATCTGTATAGAGGAGGCCAGCTGATCGTTTGCAGGAGGCAAAAAGTTCATCAAGCAATGGACCTCTCTGGGCTGATCAGATTTGGACAGGCGTGATAAAAGTTTTTAGGTGGTCCCCGTCGATGGTTAACATGTACTAAGTTACATGATGTTTTGTTACATGATAATGCCCACAACTCATGCGCCTTGGGTCCTCACTACAAAGCTGTATACCCAATAGCAAATTTTGGTGTTTGAAGGGGGGAAATGTGCACATTTCATATAGATGTATGATCGATTTACACGGTTAAAATTAAGACGATCCGTATTAAAAGCGATGGGAGCGATGTAAGTAAAACGTGATTCACTTTGTCTAAGCACTACCAATTAATCCTTTTATCACAATGTTGAAGAAATAATTTCCTCGGAACTCACATGACTTCTTCGTTCAAAGGGTTATTTCGAATTATTTGGTTTTGTCGATCTCAAGAAAGCGACATTACAATATTTACGAGATTGAGAGGTCAGATTAATAATAGCTAAAAAAGACCAGATAATAAACTGCCATGAGACGCATCTCTCTTTCGATACAAATGCTTCTTGCTGCTATTTCTCGAAAAATCATTCTCCAAATATCGTAACTCATCGTGACAATGCACAAATTCTCCTAGTTTACTTTAGTTGAGAAAATTGTTTCGCCGACTTAGATATACTTTCGCTATTTAGTGACCAAACGGACTTAATTTATCATGAAATCGCTATTATAAAGTATTTACATGTTAGGATATGCAATCATGCATATCATCCAAAGTGAGTGCTTGGGCAGAGATGTCCTGCTCCCTCCCATTGAAATCCAAGGAAAAGAGAATATTCACCAACTAAATAGTACAAATCGCTCCCCTTAACTGTCAACATCAAGCCCAGCTTGGAGGCCAGTGGCCACCTAAGCAGCTGAACTTCAATTAGCTCTATTACAAAAATAACAAATACATCCTTCAATCATAAGCTTAATATGGTATATATTAAATAATTTCTCCCTTCGTTTATCTCATTCTATCAAAGCAACCCATAATTTGAAGAGCATCATACAAGAATATCTGCCACTAAAGTTGTAAATGGAAAACCATCTACATTCGCATAGAAAGTAAATTTCTTTATATTAATCAAATTCAACACATAAAAATAACGTTTCCCGTTAGTTAATTCGGCTAATTCATTATATATTTAAGTTAAAACCACCATTTATATCTATTCATCGAGTAATTAATCACTTTCTTTCTATATTCATCGAGTAATCAATCACTTTCTTTCTATACATATATAACTATCATTCCTTTCATTTTGCATACGTGTCAGTATGATTTCGGGACACAATGATTATTATATAAAATTTGCATTATCATCTCAAAAGTAATTAGAATTAGTATGGTATAAACCAAATAATGCAATAATGATCGGACAAATTGATCATCATATAAAAAGCGGGATATGACATTTATTTCTAATATTCTAAACAAAAGAATTTATAATGGATATAGACTGGCGGGTCGCTTCACTAGCTTTTTCCTTCCCTTCTACGCTCAAGCTTCAAGTTTTTTTCCCTAAGAAAAAGGTCAAAACTAAGAAAAATGGTAAAAACGATCTGATGTTTCTCTTTCGTCAGACGTTCACGGGCTTGCAGAGGAACATGAGCGACGAGGACGCGCCCGCAGACCCGTCACCGAATCTGGTGCCACCACCAGCGCTCCCATTCCCGAGCCTCTCGTAGTAGTCCACGCAGAACAGCGAGAGCGACAGCTGCAGCTCCTCCCGGGACCGGACCCGCCACGGGAGCTCGGCGCGGCGGGACCGCCCGAGGCGGCTGAGGACGGGGCGGATGCAGACCATGTAGAGGCGGCGGTAGCCGCCGAGGGCGGAGACGACGGGGCGGACGGAGGAGGGAGGGGGAGGGGAGAGGTGGCGGAAGCAGAGGTGCTCCCAGACGGAGTCGTTGCGGGCGAGGGCGGACCAGAGGCGGCAGACGCAGGCGGCGACGCAGAGGGAGCGGCCGTCGAGGCGCTTCAGGATCTCGGCGAGGACGTCGACGTGGTCGTTGATACAGAACTTGGGTCTCTTCTCTTTGCAATGGTGGTGGTGGTGCACCATTTTTCAGCTCAGACAGTGAGCGAGAGAGAGAGACAGAGAGCAGTGAGGGAGAGAGAGGAGAGGGCTGAGGGGGTTTATATAACGTGGGAGTGTGTCAAAAGGACGTTGATTACCTGTGAGGAAAAAGAATAGCGTGGAGTTTAAGGGATTTGACTTCACACGAGAGAGAGAGAGAGAGAGAGAGAGAGAGAGAGAGAGAGCGAGAATCGAGGTGAACAAGAGAAGAGGCCAAGAGGAAAAGTTACAAGATGAAGAACTGGAATCAATGCAGAGAGTTGCATTTTCTTCTCCTTTGCTTGTGTGTGTTTGTAAGACAGAGAAAGAGAGGGAGGGGAGATGAATATAAATTGTCTGAGAGTCTTTGTTGGGTAATGGTTTTGCAAACTTCAAGAATTGGGGGCCGTTGTGAAATCACTGACTTTCGAGACCATCATCAGTAGTCCCTCTCTCTCTCTCTGTCCCTCCTTTTTCACTTCGATGTAGGGTTCTGTCTGCAACTGCAACTCTATTTCTCCCTTCTCACTTATGTCTTTGTTGTGCATGGAAGAGTGGCAGTGACCATTCACGGGGGCGAAGAAATTATTGGCCAAACTCGAACTCCAAATTTCAAAAGTTGTCAAGCATTAATAAAAAGTTATTGGGTAGTTCTGCATAAAAACAATTTCCCATGTGTCCATAACAAGGACCCTAACGCTCAAGGGGGGTGAGCGATGAAGGGTCCGGGCGGGACCCTTGTATTGGCCTAAAATATTGTCCAAGTTCACCCGTTAAGGAAAAATGAATAAGAACGGGCTATGTATGCCTAGCTCGCATCCACTGGATCTAGTTGTCCGAGCCTCAGAGTTGTAAACACTTCACCAGACTCATTAAAAGTGTCTTCTAACTTTAATTGTGGTGGATCCTTGATTGCCAAATCCATCATCAGGTCTAATTAACACAAAAGCCCATTCTCTCTCTTTCTTCCATATGCCTGCCCGTGTAGTGATCATATCGTCATTGTTGTCGAGAATGTCGGGGGGAAGGGGGGGTGGGGGGAGAGAGAGAGAGATTTCTCTATACCTTTGGTCCTCGACAGTAACTATTCCAACATACACCCCATTGAGATATGGAAGAACAGAGTCATCGAGATATATGGAGGCCAACGTCTAAAGGAGAAGGCGAAGTTTGCTGTGCTGCACCTATATCGCTTGACCTTAAGATGATTTGTTTGCTCATTGATGGTGACACGACAAAGAGAGATGGAGACTTGTTAGAGAGGGAGGGGGTTGGAAGGGGAAGGGTGGGAGTAACTATTCCAACACACTCCACCATCAAGATATGGAAGAAAAGAGTTGTCGAGATCTATTGAGGCCAACTTCTAAAATGTAGGCGAAGTTTGCTGCGCGTACATCGCTTGATCTTTAGAAGATTTCGTTGCTCATTGTTGGTGACATGATAAAGAGAGATGGAGAGTTGTTAGAGAGAGAGAGAGAGAGAGAGAGAGAGAGAGAGGACAACGATGGCCGAACGACGACGTGACGGTGGATTGACCGCTTGGTGATAGCTTTGACAGCGTCATGGTGGCTAGTCACATGGGAAGGAAGTGAGACAAGAGGATTGAGTTAGGGCTTTGTGAAAGTGTCTATGTAATTTTCCCATATGGGAAATACCACGCATATTTTTCATGTGTCGATTGCTTGATGAAAGACTTGCCTAAATTGGAGAGGCAAGCATGGCTTGTCCCACCTTTTTCCTCGAGCATAACTCTACAAGGCCTCATTTTTCTCATTTATGAGATTTCCTAATTCCTTTACATGCACTAAAATTTAAAACCTCTTTTAAGCCACATGTATGGCTTTTGCACGAATTGGACTTTTAGGGTGCGTTTGGTAATCATTTTGTTTCCGGAAACAATTTCTACTTAGAAATGATTTTTCTTTATTCTGTTCTCGGAAACAATTTTTAAGCATTTGAAAGCATTTGGTAATGGCTCAAAATTTTCATTCCTGAAATAGAAAAAGAACATAAATGCGTTTAGTAACTGCACAAATTTTTTTTTTGTTAATAATATTTTGATAATATTTTAAATTTTTTAATATTTCTTTCTTTTCTTTTTTCCTTCTTCTCCTTCTTGGCCATGGCCGGCGAGGGTGTCGGGGCCCTTGCCGGCGAGGGCAAGGGCTGGACCGTCTCGGCTTGGGCGAGGGTCGCTGTCGAGGCTCGTGGCCTGGGTGAGGCCTGGATCCTCGCCGTCACCCTTGCCAGATCCGGCGAGGGTGGCCCTCACCCAGGCAGCGAGCCTTGAGGGTGACCCTTGCTGGCTCGGGCGAGGGCGGCCCTTGCCCAAGCCGTGAGGGTCCAGCCCTCGCTGGATCCGGCAAGGGTTGTGACGCCCTCGCTAGCCCTAGTCTGTGGCCGGTCACCGGCCACAGGCCAGGAAAGAAGAAGAACCGGCCACAGCCCGGATGGAAAGAAGAAAAAGAAAAAAAAATCTCTTCTATTTTTGATTCTTGTTCCCAGAATTAAGAATCAACATTTTTTTGGATTCTTGATTCTGTTCCAAAACTGATTTTGGGAACAAATTTGTGCCCGAGAACAAAAAATTTACCAAATGGATTTCTGTACTTTTTTTGTTTTCGAAAATAAAATAATAGAATCAGTCACTATTTGGCAAGTTACCAAACACACCCTTAGTCATCTCATTCTTTTATTACCATTTTCTAATAGTCCAGACCTTTCATATCAGATGGTTGTGCTTGTGCATGCAACTTGAGCAATTCCCTCCGCGTTCTACTCCAAGTAGCCTTGTAACATTCACGCGTAAGGTCTCATTTCACGGTTTCGACATATCTGCTAGTCGAGATCGATTTAGCATAATAAAGATATTTAAGGTTTTCAAAGTTTTTTTCAGAACACTAATAAAATTAGAAGCGATAACGTTTTGTTTTAGAAAGAAGAAAGGAGATTTGGGTGGACTTTAACACCTCAACCAAAGAGCCTCTAGTTCTATTACGGGAAATATATATATATATATATATATATATATATATATATATATATATATATATATGTATTGTCTTAAAGATTTATATGATTGTATGTTGAATTAAGAAAAGTACTTTACACGTACATTTCAGACATTTTATGAGATGGGCATTTAAACTCAGAAACCAAGTTGTTTATCAAATTTGGATGAAGCTCAATATTCCAAGATATCCAAACAATTGTTTCTTTTTGCATAGGATCCTGATTGAGAGATTAGGTTACGATTGTCTTTTTCTCGAATAATGCTAGAGATATAAATAATGGAACACAAAGTAATGTGATGTAACGGGATAGACATCTAAACAAATTCATCCAGACTCAAGTTTCCTAATAAATAACAACACTTTTTATGTCGTTTTATAGATCAACTTGAAAGCTACTAGTCGTATATCGTCATTTTTTGTTTTGTTTTGTATCTTTTACGTTTTGCAAGGTTAAATTTATTTTATGCACGTAATTTTGTTTATCCAACATCATTTCCCATATATTCTTTTTGGTTGATTTGCCACCACTTGTTAAGTGAGCTAAACTCTCTCAGGTTAATTCTATAGCCTCAACGATATTTTACTCGTACAATTAGATTTTCTAGGGGTTTAGTGGTTAGGTGGTGTTTAGATTGGCTCTCGTGCACCTCAACTGATCCATCCCACCAAACGAATTTGAGGGCGCACTCTCCCAGATCGGTTTGATGCATTCGGAATTTTACTTCCCGAAGTGCTCCCAGATGCTGTATCATCACATTTATGGATCATCGATCGAATACTGCTTTAAAACTTTAACCTGTCATGACACCAAGTAAATAAACAACTATGAATTCTAGGAAAATTATGAAGCTCAAATACGAAAAAGGAAATGTCGCATTCAGATCATTCAACGAGAAGGGCCCCTCGGATTCATGGTCAGGCGAGCAGCTACATGGTTGTCTTTTGGACTTTGTCTCAATAGAGTTGGCACTTCGCCCGGCAAAGGAAAAAAACCAAGTCCTGCGAGACACAAAGCATGAAATTTCGACACAAAAAATCACCAAGAAGGTCTGTCTAGAATCGACCTCAGACGCACATAGGCTTCTTCTATAATGGAAAAATAAAATAAAATAAAAATAATTGGACCCACCTATATATATAGACATATAATAATAATATATAAATATAAATATACGTATATATGAATGGATGATAGAGGCTGAGAGGGAGTGTCATTGGGAGTTGTTCTCTTTCGTGTTTGGACTTGTTTGTTGGACACACTTGAGGAGCACTTTTCCCTATTCTTGCTTGGAGGAATTTGATAATTGCTAAATTACAAAAGCATACCCGTAAAGTGCGCGAAAAAAGAAGGAAAAAATCTTTTTTTTTTTTTTTCACATATCTTCACTCACTCCCCGAACAACTATCATTTGTACTTAAGTTGCTTGTAAAGTATGTGCCTCACACAAACAAGTCAACACGCATATGAGTGTTTTCACCATGTCCATTTGCCATACGCCCTTATTCATGGGTAAAAATTCCATCACTTATCTATATGTATTGGCATGGATGTTTTCGCACTGAAAAAAAAATCATATAGCTACAAATCATTTAAGTTAAAAATCGAGTAGTGCCGGCGTAAGCCTTCAAATCTGCGAATAAATTATATGTGATGCATGATGTGGGAATGACTTTGAAGATCTTGGTTAGTTAAAATAAGTTTCGGGTCCAAGGCGAGGAAGCATTTGAAGCTCCTAATGCACCAATGACGCTGAGAAGCAAGTTAATTAACATTTGCTTGCTAAATTGGGAAACCACATTTAGCACTTTCGACGTAGGAAGAGAAAACATCATCGTAAGAGTACGATTTGTTATATCACGTGTCAATGGCGAGCGATTTAAGATATTGCACTTCGCGCATATTTGATATACAAAGTTTTAATAGATCCTCAAAGTTTATGACATTTATGAAAAGAATTTTCAGAGAGGCAAATGTGACTTATATACTATACAAAACACATCAAGGGTCAATGCCTCTCCATTTTTCCATAATTTAATGACAAAAAGTGAATCCAATGATACGATCACATCAGAAAAGTTAGTGTGTTGACATGTGTAATGATCTCTCTCTCTGTCCAGCTAATCTCCATGATCAGTAGCATCCAAAGAGCTAGTTAAAACGCCATTTTTGTTGGCTTCTCCACTGACACGAGCTCATTATTAAATGATTTGTATAAGCCCCTGGTCAATGTCGGGGACATACATACATATGAATGTAGTTTTTAAAGAGGGTTTTGTTTTGTTTGTTTGATCGAAGTGCTGGGTTTGCATTGAAAATCTTTTGGGAGACTTCGTGCATGTGATGATAAAAACTCGACAACAACGTGAAAAGGACCAAGACGTGAGTACAAAACATGAAACAACAACAGCAACCCTAAAAGGGGTTTCATTTCAAGAATTGTTGCGGTGTTTGGGTATAGACCGACCTTTCTTGCCCTAACTGCTCCTTTAGCCACGAGTTAGCGACGAAGGAATTTGTGAATATTTCTTGGCCTTGTATTTTGCTATATTGAGTTATTCTTTTCGTTAGAAGTTTCTGATGGGGCTTCTTTTTAGGTGTGTTACGACAATAATCTTATGTTAAAAGTTTATGCTATGTGTCGAGAAATTGACGTGGAAGCAAATGGATATGTACAAGTCGGGCTTTACGTGTAAAAGAAAGGATGTCGATGTACTTATGTCGTCATCGAAAGGTGTGAATAAAATAATACGAAGACAATACGAATCGATAACAAAAGTGAGTACCTTTCATTGAAGCTTGTAACTTGTATACTGATATCACTGTATACTGGACAACCGTTTACATAGAAAGTTTAAGGTTTTTTTCAGCATAATAGTTGTCTAATAATATATATCGACCATCTTGTTAAATAGAAGGAAATTACCCTTGATGTACACAATAATCATTCTAAAATATCAAGCGGTTGATATTTAATTCGCTTTCTTATTCCCTGTAAGCACACAAGCAAACACAATAAAAGAAGTTTCAATATCTTGTGCAATTGGGTCTGATACAATTTAAGTGCTTCTATGTAATAGACTATTCATTGATATAGTATCTTTCCATGACTTTAGACGAATTTCATGACCATGAGATATGTATGTAACAAAAAAACAGACATCTACAGATTAGAGTCCTCCAAGAAGTCGTCTTTTTATCCATTATAATATCTTGTTTTGTGGAAGTTTGATCACTTTGTGATCGAGCCCGAACCAGAAAACAAGTTTCTTTCTACTTGTCTTCCCAAATAGCCTATTTGTCAAATTAGCCTACTAGGATTCAGATCCTACGGATATGAAACTTCTATCTAACATTAGTAAGGAAATTAGAAAATTGCCTTTAATCCAGAAAGAGATGTATCCAGGCAAAACAGAGATGGAATCATACATTTCTTATTTGTTACATTCACACTATGTTCTAGCGACTGTGAAACAACTGGAACTTAACAACAGACCAATTCAATCTAAGACCACCAAAGAAGGTAGTTCCCAAATGAAGAGCACGGCAAGTTTTGTTCTTGTGCCCTTGTTTTTTAGCTTCTGTGCCTTTGTTTCTTCTTCAGGCGAAAATTTTTCACACTCCGTCGAGCCCTTTTTCCCGCGATCCACTTGTGCCCGATCACCACTCCAATCACTAGTCCACTGGCATACTGCACCGAGACAATCTTCCAGTCTATTTCATCTGGACTCCTTGACTTCTGATCTCTTCTTCCGATGTTGAAGATGGTGGTGGTAATGCATTGAGCTCTCCGCATTTCCTATAAAAAGGAGTACCGCACAACCCTGCTTTCCCTCCGTATGAGTTGGTTACAAATGTATCACGACTGTTGCAACTGTGGTCTGGGCCCAGTCAAATGGTTTTAAGGCACATTGAAGAATGCAAGCGATGGGAGTCGAGTCAACTCTTGTGGGATCTCTCCTGAGAGCTGGTTCCAAGAAAGGTCCAATGCTTCCGAATTTGTTAGGTTGGTCAAGGATGAGGGGATGGGACCGCCGAGAATGTTCTTGGAAAGGTTGAGCAACTGAAGCTGCTTTAGGCTTTCAAGAGACTCAGATATCTCTCCAACTGTTGCTTGAAAGATCGATCAATGTGAGATGTTTGTAGATCCTTGAATACTTTAGTTGCGCGAGCCTTTGTTTGTCATTATAATAAAGGGTCGAAGGACGTGTATCGTGGGCAGAACCTGTGAGACAGGTTCTTGATGGGATTTATGATTTACAGATCTGTGTAGGCCAAACAGTCCACTTGATGTACTGCTGCAATTTTCATGGCAGTTCAATGCTCAAAGTACTTAGATGGCAAGCTACCGGCAATTGTTCTAGGATAGGTCGATGATCTGAAGCCTCGGGAAACTATAGTTACTTCCATGTTCCCCAACCACCCCATGGAATGTGTTAGCTTGCCAGATTAGCACGACGAAAAGTGAGCCCAACCATGACGGAAAAGTGTCATTGATTTGATCATCTTGCACACTTAGGAACTCCTACTCTTCACAGCCTGCGAGTGACCTAGGTAATGGCCCTTGGGATTGATTATAACTTAAATCAATTATCATCAGTTGCGCACACATTTTCTTGACTTGGGGAATTCTCCCTTGGAAGTTGTTGCTTGATAGGCTAATCACTTCCAGAGTGTCACTCAGATTGCTCAGACATTGGTGGAAGGGCACCGGTCAATGCATTGTAAGACAAATCTAGGGCATGTGTGGAGCTCAATTTGGAAATTGACGGCGAAACTTGTCCAAAGAGTGTTATTCGAGACAAGACGATGCAAGACGGTTGTCGGGGGACTTAAAGCAGTCCTTGCAGCTTGTTGAAGCTAAGTGTAGAGTCTGGAGCGTTGTCCATTTGAAGACATAAGGACGTTGCGGAAAGCCCGTCAGGGAACCAACAGCCTCTCTTAATTCACATCTGAATCATTCTAGTACTTGGCCAGTGTAATGCCACAAAGTTCACTAAGCTTCCGATGCGCACTTCTGTCCCATGACCACCATCTCCTGTCTCCCAATCTAGGGAAACCTGTCAATACTATGGGTGAATTAGTCTCAACGCTGAGTAAGCAAGTCACTGATTGATATAAGATAATCACGGGATGACATGGTATTTGGAAAGAGAGCGAAAGTGTTTGGAGCATTTGTTGTATAGAACCTGGATCAGGCGTTGACTACAGATTTGCATTGTGATTTGCGTTGCTTTTCATATTCAAAGCAATGTGAACTTAGTTTGATAATTGCTTTCTAAAACGGATTGAAAATGTGAAATGCTTCGCAAAAGTGACAAATGATTTGGCTTGTGAACTCTGATTATACAGTGAGTTGTGATGGTCCATACATTTATTTCAAAGTGGTATTGTTAGACTTAGTGCCATTTGATATTTATGTTTCAAGCTCTGTAACCAATACATATAAGAAATAGGAATGTATTTTTCTTTATCTTCTATATTAAAAAGATTTCACATATTGCATTTTTATGTGCCAATATATGAAGTTAAATAATTGCTTATTACTCCACATATATACTTAAATAAGTAATGAGCCCTTTTATGAAATTAATTTTTTCTTGGTGATATCAATGTTAGATAATCAGAAAAAGATTAAGTGTATTTTATATGATTGGTGAAAGATAGAATGGTTTCTAAGTAATTAATGTGAAAGAAAGTGGAAGTAAATAGAGCTTCCAGAGCAAAGTTTCATTTTACTTAACTTTCTTAATATTTATAGATTTTTCTGATATATGTCTCACATATATATGATTACAGAATGCTTTATTTAAAATTCATATGGACTACATAATATCTGTAGCAGAAAAACTTAGAAAAAGATACAGGTACTCAAAAATAGAAGACGAAAGATTTCGATCGAGTGTTCCTTGGTTTCGGACCATTTCTTCTACCTTCTTCGCCTTTGCTTTCTTCTGCCAAAGTTCTTCACAAGGCTCTGAGCCCTTCTTCCTGTGATCAAGGTGTTCTCGAGGACCAGCCCAATCACTAACCCACTCGCATACCCCATGCACACGATCTTCCAGTCAAATTCCATTGCACTTCCCGAATCTTGATCTTCTTCAGACGTCGGAGATGATGGCGGCGACGCTTTGGGATCTCCGCATTTTCTAGACAGAGGAGTGCCGCATAGCCCTGAGTTTCCCTTGTAGGAGTTGTTTTCGAATGTAGCAAACTGCCGTGACTGCGGTATCGGCCCGGTCATACGGTTATAAGATACGTTGAAAACCGCAAGTGAAGTGAGTTGCGTCAACTCCTGAGGGATCTCTCCTGAGAGCTGATTTTGAGAAAGATCCAATGCCTCCAAATTCGTGAGGTTTGCCAAGAATGGAGGCAGAGGACCGAAGAGAATATTGTTGGAAAGGTTGAGCAATTCTATTTGCTTTAGGCTTCCGATGGTCTCGGGGATCGCTCCGCTGAAATTGTTGCTCGAGAGATCAATCAATGTGAGGTATCCTTGGATCTTTGAGTAATTCATTTGGATGCCTTTGGCAATTACTCTCATAGAGTAGTCAAAGGTTGCGTCTGAAGAGAAAATCCAGGCCCGCTTAATAGCATCCCCAATGTAGCTTGATGAATTTGTCTCAGAAACTTTCATGGCAGCCCAATGCTTGAAGTATCCAGATGGCAAGCTACCGGAAAAAGTATTTTGGGATAGGTCAATGATTTGCAGTGTAGGGAACTCAACCCTATCAGCAGGTTCCCCAATAAGTTCGTGAAATCTGTTATCCCGCAATATAAGTACCTTCAAGTTGAGAAGTGAGCCTAACCATGACGGGAAAACATCACTAATTTGATTGTTTCCGAAATTTAGGAATTCCAAATCGTCACAGTTGCGGAGCGATCTTGGCAATGGCCCGTGCAATTTATTGAAACTCAGATCAATCATAATAAGCGCACAGGAATTCCCATTCAAATTAGGAATTTTGCCGATAAAGTTGTTGCTCTGTAAACTCATTACTTCCAAAGTACCACTCAAATTACTCAAACATTGTGGAAGAGACCCGGTCAAATTGTTATAAGACAAATCGATCATCTGGATAGACGTTAGATTGCATATGAGTGGTGATATTTCTCCCGAGAGCCTATTATTTGAGATGAAGTAGTACCACATTTCAGGAGGGGGAATAGGAACTGATCCTTGCAACTCGTTGAAACGGAGGTCTGCTACAACGAGTTGTCCCCACTTGAAAATAACGGGGTCTTGAGTAAAACTTGTTAGAAAGTTGCCAGAAAGGTTCAAATGATGTAGGCATTGTGGACTCACATTCAGAAACCATTCGGGAACTTGACCAGAAATGTTATTGTAGGATAGATCTAGGAAAAACAATTCTTCTTGAAATTGTAGAAACTCAGGGAAACCATTCAAGTTACATGAACCTAAGCCTAGAGCAAAGTACTGTTGATGTTTGTCGGTTTCGACGATCAATGACAGTTTGTTAGAGGATAACCCAAGTACTCGAAGGAATTCGATCTCTGCAAACCTATCTAACTTTACAGTGCCACTCAAGTTATTTGAATTCAAATTAAGAGTGTCGAGATTCTGTAATTGGAAAATTGTGCTTGGAATTGCACCATGGAATTGGTTGAATGAAAGGTCAACGTCAATCAACTGGGTGAGTATCCCCAACGAGAATGGAATTTCGCCACTTAATTGATTCGACCGAAGTGTTAAGAACCTAAGCTCCAGGAGGTTTTGGAAGGAGAGTGGAATCTCGCCCACTAATTGATTGTATCCAAGATCTAAATGAGTAAGTCGAGCTAGGTTTCCAATGGAAGACGGAATTTCACCTGTTAACTTATTTAAGCTTAAATCTAAACAAGTAAGTTGAACGAGATTCCCAAGAGAGGATGGAATTTGCCCAAAAAACATATTGCCCGCTAGACTTAAATCCTTAAGCTGGACCAAATTTCCCAAGAAAGATGGAATTTCACCCGTGAAAGAATTAAAGCGTAGATCTGAATGCTTCGTGTGACCAAGACGTCCAAAAGAAGATGGGATTTCACCTATAAATTGGTTGACATATAGATCGCCCAACGGAGGTTGTCTCCATCGACTGATGGGAGGATTGAATATGTTTAGGTCTACGAGTGTTGGGCCTATTAGCCTATTATTTGAGAGGTCTAGATGGACAAGTAGGGTCAAGTTACCGAGCGAATGTGGGATGTGGCCCATGAAGTTGGAGCCGGAAAAGTTCAAGTCCCCCAAGGAACCAAGATTTCCAATTGCCGGAGGAATCTGACAATTGAAGTCATTGAAGGCAAGGTTAAGGCTTCTTAGATGAAGAAGACGGAAAATACTGGTGTTGGAGTTGATTTTACCAGAGAGACAACTGCAACTGAGGTCGAGGCCGATCACGTGACCACTTACCTCATCACACTCAACACCAGCCCATGAACAGCAGTCGCTTTTAGCTTCCCCTGTTGATGCATTCCAGGATTCAATATTTGCTTGCACATCTGAAGTGGCGCTGGAACAACACGGAGGCTCTAAGGTGAAGAAGGTTGCCTTGAAGTCCAACAACGCAGATCTCTCGTCTTCACGGCAACGTGGTTGGGTTGAAGCAAGAGAGTGTGAAGCAACAATAGTAAGCAAGAGTATCATATAGCTGAAGTGAAATGACTCTTTTTCCATGGTTACCTTTCCAAACCTAGTGGCACTCTCAAACTCACTCTGCCGACTTGGGCGTACATGAGGCCTCATGATGGATATGTTATATATATAGCCAAGTTCTTCTCTGATGTCATTTTCATGCTTTAATCTAATGCACTGTTAATTATAATTAACAGATCATGTTAGCGCGTTAATGTTAAAAGACATGGATAAATTTGTCTCTTGACCTAGAATTCTTGCAACCCAAAGAGCATGCTAGCTTAGAAATTGCAAGATACTGAATGTCATTGTTTAGGCGCTTTAAAAATACATGCCTAACACCATTTCTTCCCCAAATAAAAGCTGAAAAAGAAGTATATAATACTTGATTTCACCCGGTTAGTGTAGAATTTTGTGAGACCACCGCAACTCTTTTAAAATAGGGTCCAGAAATATTTGAACTCAGGGCTTTCTGGTTTGATGACATGTTAAATTTTGCGAGACCACTCTAAATGATTTTAAAAGATTAAGCTGTTGACGAATGCGTGGTTTCAATCATTTAATATTCTAAATTAGGATCATAGTAGATTTATATATTGGTTATGTCATATTCTGTAATCTTGGATTTCCTATCTCGAAAAACTTGAATATAGTGTAAATACATGTGTGCAGTCTCCGAGTGTCAGGCGGTGTTTTTCTTTCCAATCACACACCTGATCAGCCATAGACCACATGATAAAACCCATTCAATTGGAAACCATGCAGCAGAAAGACAGCTTCAGACTGTCTGTTGAGATGACTTGCATGCCGCCAATGATGAAAGTGATGCAGAGTGAGGACTGATTGGGCCAAACATCAAGTCATCTCTTTCGCCTCAAATGAGATCATTCCCATTTCACATCTCTTTCTTCGTATGAAAATGTTCTTATCAAACTGCAAATACAAAATGCGACACCAGTCTCACAGCATGATTTGTCAATTATCGTGGCCGAATTGTACATATAACTACGTTCCATCTCTCAGCAATGGCAGTTTGCGTGCAAATGGGTAGTGATTGTAATAGTGGCGTTGACCGAGTCAATTGGGTAGCAAAAAAAAAAAGTTGACTCGTCTACAAAGGGTAAGAAAAACTGGACACTACAAAGGGAAAGTTAGGGCGCAAAGAGAAGAAAAGACAAAAGGAGAAAAAGAACGAAAGGGAAAAAGGAAGGCAAGTCCTATTTCATGGCATATCGCCTGAGGTGTTATTGGAATATTGGTACATGATCACAGCTCGTGTTGTTACCGGAGGACAGCGTATTACTTACTGACTTGCCATAGTAATTACTGGGCTGCCTGATCATACTTTTTTCTTTTTGCATATGGAGCATCGATGTAGTATTTTCTAACTTGTCCTAGGAAAAATGAAATTGTTGCTTGCCAAGAAATTTGGATAACAAAACATTTTAGTGTCTTGGGTCGGTTTTCTAAGTTATTTCCAAAAACATATGGGGTGAGTTTTGTCACGGCTAATTTAAGGTTAAGTTCAAAATGTCGTGTTTAGCACTTCTTGATTTTCAATTTGTTCTAACAATTTGTCCATCCATCAAATTCGTTCTCTAAAACTCTAAGGCTCCGTTTGTTTTATGGAAAATGACTCCCAGAAAAATGTTTTCTGAATTTTCTGGCTTTCGTTTCACGAAAAATAAACTAGTCGTGGAAAATATTTTCTACCAATGGAAATAACACATTCAGAAAACATTTTCCATATCTTCTTTCACCTCATTTTCTTTAAAATAACACATTTTTCTTTTCTTTTTTCCTTTAAAAAATCAAATTTCTAATTATTTTTTAAATTTCTTTTTTTCCCTTTTCTTTTTTTTTCTTCTTCCTTGACCGGTCGCCGGCCGCCGGGCAAGCTTGAGCCTTGCCTGATCCAGCGAGGCTCAAGCTCGCCTGTGGTCGATCACCGGCCGTTGCCGTGGCCAGCCAAGGAAGAAGGAAAAAAAAGAAAGAAAAAAAAGGAAAAAGAAAAATAATTAAAATAATTAAAATTTTAGAATTCTTTGGTAATTTTCCCTAGAAAATCAAATCGGATACCGAACGGCGAAAGATATTTTCCAGTTCATTTTCAAGTTTGAGCCGAACACCAGAAAATATTGTCATTTTGGAAAATTACCAAAAAATTTGAATTTTTTTAATTATTAAATTATTTTTATTTTCTTCGCCTCGCCTAATCCGGCGAGGCCTAAGCTCACCCAAGGCCGGTCGGACGAGCTCGGGCTTCGCCAGATCCGACGAGCTGGGCGAAGCTCGAGCCTCGCCCGAGGTCGCTAGACGTTGGTGAGGCTCTGTCGAGCTCGCCTGTGGCTAGTAACAGGCCGAGGAAGAAGCCAAAAACAAAAAAAAGGGAAAAAAGAAAAATTTAAAAATCAATTTTTTCTTAAAAAGAAAAGAAAAATGTGTTATTTGAAAGAAAATGAAGTGAAAGAAGATAAGGAAAATGTTTTCCGCTTTTCCTCACTTTTGAATGTGTTTTTTCAATTGGAAGAAAATGTTTTCCATGACCCATTTATTTTTCGTGTAACGAATAGCGGAAAATCCAGAAAACATTTTCTTGGAAGTTATTTTCCGTGAAACAAACGGAGCCTAAAAGAAACTTGTGGCTACGAGGTAGGTTCTCTCCTTTGATCTTTTCTGTCTTTTTTCTTCTTCATGGTCCCACGGCAGATTCCTGGGAAATAAATACTAAAGTCATCATCTTCATGCCGGCCGAAGTAATCAGCACGATTTTGCTTATCCGTAATCAGCTCTTAGTGGGGACCGAGAAAAGTGCTAGGCTAGACCAGAGTTGACGTTCTTGACACTTTACAAAGTCTTCGATGACCTTGACTTAAACATCTGTGCTTTTTTTCCTGTTACCCTAGAAAAATGCATAACAGTTTCCGTAACAATAAGGATTGAGGGAGTTGGACTCTTTGTTGAGTTAGATTGGTCTCACGAATAGACTCTAGGGGGATCCACCTGATCTTAGGACTGAGGTGCATTGATTCACATCCATTTAGTGCATCCAAATGTGGCTTCAGTACGTTGGTACCATGCTCTTGCACTTTGCAGACTTGCAGGGAAGAAAGGATAGCCTTATTCGCAGTAAGAATGTCTTATTATATTAGTAATGCCTCAATGGCAAAATCTTCTTTCACAAGGACGTGGAGTGCATAATAGTCATTGATACTACTCCCAGTGCTTTGGGATGAAACGTTATAGGATGGCACTTAAGTTCAAGTCATTCTTTTTCCGAGCTGTAGCTCCAAATACCACGGCCATGTCAAACTCTTCTGGCTTCCAATGAAAGTGGTAGAGCAATTGAGCAAGCGGAAGTTCAATACTGGCAAGACCAAATAATATGCGGGGACACATCCTTCTACCTGCTCCAGATGGAATATATTCGAAGTTAGTCCGTTTGTAGGTAACCCAAGAGTTTTCCAAATCTCTCTGATATAAAGCGTTCAGCATCATTCCATTGATCAGGATCTCTTCTGAGTGCCCACGCAATGATGATGACTATAGTTTTTGGCCGTATCTCATATACTGAGACTGCACGTCTGTCCCTAAACTCTCTCGTGATGAAGGGAACAGGAGGATGCAAGCGTAGAGTTTCTTTTAAGACTAGTCTAAAGTAGTGTAGTTGCTGGATGTCTTGCTCGTCGATCCTCTCTTTTCCGAAAGAACTCGCCGAAATTCAGATTTAGCTCTCTCCATTGCTCTGGGGTTCTTCACCATTTTGGCCATCGCCCATTCAAGCGTCATGACCGATGCAATATGAGGACTTTGACTCCGTCAAAAAGCGTGCGCAACAAAATAAAAAAGAAAAAGAAGACCACAAGAGATCGAAGAAATAAAGAGGAAAGTCCAGCTTCGTCCAGTCAACACAGAAAAGGAGAGCGAAGGTTTTTTGCGTATACGCTACGGAGATCTGGTGAAGCCGGATTGTTGCCTAACGCTCGTAAGATTCAAGTCTTTTGTTCATCTAATCAAAATGATTGTTGGAGTTAGGTCATAAATATGAAGTTATGTGATATTTGAACAGCGGGATTTGATTTCAAAGTTGTTAAGGTGTGAAATTACGTGGAAATGATATATTAGGACCTTGTGGAGAGTGAGATTTGACGGAAATCTCTTTCAATCTTGAAATGTAATGAAGGCTCTTATCATTTAGAGTAACGGTTTAGTCGGAGCGAAATTTAAAAGTTTCATACTGCATTGTGGACAATTTCCAATATCTGCTTTTGGCGACTTTTTTTTAATTTTTTCCATAAATAATGAAATTATATTGATTTATATTATTTGGACGATTTGTAATTATTAAATTCTAATGGGTGGTAACTTCAAGGTCACGTGTTCACACTTTGCTTCCCCAATGCCTCCCGTATTGATTGTGAGACTGTTGCTTGAAAGATCGATCAATGTGAGATATTCGTAGATCCTTTTTTTTTTTTTTTTGGTCAGCTTTTTCGTAGATCCTTGAATACTTTAGTTGTGGGAGGCTTTGTTGTCATTATCATAGAGCAGTCGAAGAATCAATGATCTAAAGCCTCGGGAAACTAGAGTTGCTTACAAGTTCCCCAATTACCCCGTGGAATCTGTTAGCTTGCCAGATCGGCACAATGGAATGTGAGCACAAACAGGACGGAAAAGTATCATTGATTTGATCATTTAAAAACTCTTACTCTTCATAGCATGCAAGAGCCCTTGGAATTGATTATTACTGAAATCAATCATCATCAATTGAGCACTCGTTTTCTTGACTTGAGGAATTCTCCCTTGGAAGTTGTTGCTTGATAGGCTAAGCACTTCCAGAGTGTCACTCAGATTGCTCAGACATTGGTGGGAGTACACCGGTCAAGGCGGTGGAAGACAAATCGAGGGCATGTATGGAGCTCAATTTGCAAATTGACGGCGAAACATGTCCAGAGAGTCTGTTATTCGAGACAATATGGTGCGAGACAGTTGTTGGGGGGACAAGATGGTATTGGTTGCCCATTTCGACATGGAATTACATC